TTATATAATCTGATAAAGATACAAATAAAAAGATATATGACCCATAAATATACCTTTTCATTTTAAGCATTACCAGCGATAAAGAAAAATGCATTGACCAGTTACCGGACATCCCGGCCTTGCACCGGACATCTCAAGGCAGGTGCCGGACATCCCAGGTGCCGGACATCCCGGCCTTGCGCCGGACATCTCAAGGCAGGTGCCGGACATCCCAGGTGCCGGACATCCCGGCCTTGCGCCGGACATCTCAAGGCAGGTGCCGGATATCTCAAGACAGGTACCGGATATCCCGGCCAAGCGCTGGACTTCTTGATGAATAGCATAAAAGATCATAAAAGTAGTCCACAGAGCAAATCGTTAACCCTACCAGTAGCAAACTGGCCCACGGAGTGTTTACGGACCAAATCCTCAACCCTATTAGGTTCGCATTCTTTCCTTCTTCTGAGCAAAGTCAGCTTTAGCAGTAGCTAGCATGCCCATGTTTCTGAATATCTCGCCATAATTTAGCTGGTTCAGAAAATGTCAGCAATATTTCTTCATCTTTACTCATGAGTCTGCAAATCCGCATGAGATGGTTTAAATAAGTTGGCGTGATACCAAAAATTCCAGAATTATTGGCCCGATTAGGATATGTCCATCAATCCATACATAGAAATTCCAAAATCCCTCACTAATACTTTTATGTGTAGAACCCCGTCAACTACCTTGCCATGATTGGAAAGATACTTGGAAAAATATTGAGGAAGTGATGTACAATCTTCAGATCAATTTCAAAGATAGATCTGCTTGATTGGCTTTGATTCCTGTTCATAAAATGTTGTTTCCTGCAACCCTGCGGTCTGCAGGTATTGACCAGAGATTCTTTCGCAGCTGGCTTAGCCGCTTGCTAGCTTAGCCGCTTGCTAGCTTAGCCGCTTACAGGACATATGCAAATATATTCCACCCTGCTTCAGCACTGAGGTCGATGCCTTCGTCCTTACCAAACGGTTCGGCTTCGGTCGAGCATTCACTGTCACTCACTTACTTACATTCACTCACTCACTCACCTACCTCACCTACCTCACCACCTACCTCACCTACCTCACCTACATCACCTACCTCACCTACCTCACCACCTACCTCACCTACCTCACCTACCTCACCTACATCACCTACCTCACCTACCTCACCACCTACCTCACCTACCGCACTCACTTCACTTCACTTCACTCCACTTCTCTTCACTTCACTTCACTCCACTGCACTGCACTGCACTCCACTCCACTCGTACTCCACTCGTACTCCACTGGTACTCCACTCTCGTACTCCACTCTCGTACTCCACTCTCGTACTCCACTCTCGTACTCCACTCTCGTACTCCACTCTCGTACTCCACTCTCGTACTCCACTCTCGTACTCCACTCTCGTACTCCACTCTCGTACTCCACTCTCGTACTCCACTCTCGTACTCCACTCTCGTACTCCACACTCGTACTCCACACTCGTACTCCACACTCGTACTCCACTCTCGTACTCCACACTCGTACTCCACACTCGTACTCCACACTCGTATACTCCACTCGTATACTCCACTCGTACTCCACTCGTACTCCACTCGTACTCCACTCGTACTCCACACTCGTACTCCACACTCGTACTCCACACTCGTACTCCACACTCGTACTCCACACTCGTACTCCACTCTCGTACTCCACTCTCGTACTCCACTCTCGTACTCCACTCTCGTACTCCACTCTCGTACTCCACTCTCGTACTCCACTCTCGTACTCCACTCTCGTACTCCACTCTCGTACTCCACTCTCGTACTCCACTCTCGTACTCCACACTCGTACTCCACACTCGTACTCCACACTCGTACTCCACACTCGTACTCCACTCTCGTACTCCACTCTCGTACTCCACTCTCGTACTCCACACTCGCACTCCACACTCGCACTCCACACTCGTACTCCACACTCGTACTCCACACTCGTACTCCACACTCGTACTCCACACTCGTACTCCACACTCGTACTCCACACTCGTACTCCACACTCGTACTCCACTCCACTTCACTCCACTCCACTGCACTTCACTTCACTTCATCCCTCACTCTCACATCCCTCACTCACACACACCACACTCACATCACTCACTCACACTCTCACTCACTCACTGTACATGAACATACATACATACATACACACAAACTCACCCACCATCACCGCTCCATCACTCTTATACTTCCTCTTCCCTTCTTGCTTTTCTATGGTCAGTCTAAATCTAAAGAAGTTGGTAACATGTGGGGTTATCCGGTCCTTTAATTTCCGTGGCAGGGGCGACAGCCCTTAAATAATCGATACTTAATCAAACTGGCAACAAATTCGGCCACAAAAGCCTACCGCATGTCAGCTTATCCAGTGGCATCTTCGCCATGTTTCGTCATTTTTCTCGCATGTTTCAAGTCCATCTGAAGTTTTTCGGTAAAAAGGGCATCGTGACGGAGCAACGGCACATCAGGTGGGATCCCCATGGGGCGAGGCATGTCCCTCTTGGGGATTGGAAACATCAAAGATGGGAGGTAAAAAATAGTTGAAGTAGACAGCGACTTTGGAACTTGAAAATTCTGACTACATCGAACTTGCCTAACCAACTTCGCAGTCCAAGAATTCTAACCATAGCCTGATATAACATGTCCTAGTTACTAGTTGCTAGCAACTTGCAGCTTGGAGTGACGCAAATGACATTGACAAGACCACCACTGACGCCAGTCCGCTTGACTTAGGCTGCCGTTTTTTCTCTCCACTACCAAGTTGGTAGTACTGTAGCTTTTCTGAATCATTCCTTTGACCATTGTTTGCAATTTGCGTGGATGCTGTAAACTTGTTTAACTCAGCACCTGATGCCCATGTGTTCCGTAACGTTCAGAAGGTCGCAACACGATGCCCTGCGCCGCGGATTGGAACATCTCGAGGCGCAAAGTTTGAGTTCGCAGCACAGCTCTTGGGGCTCCCGCACAGCTTTGAGGTGCTGCTTGTGCAGGTCGCATCGCAGCACAGATCCACAACCCTCTTCGATACATCAAAAGTATTGGATTTTCAGATTTTCACTATTGTAATCTGTTGTAATCTATTGTAATCTATTGTAATCTATCTGAGGGTAATTGTACCTGAGGGTAATCCACTTTTCCAGTGAAATTTGACTTCGGCATGTGCCACAGGCACCCTGTCAATCGTTTACGTAAATCGTGTGGGCGGATCCAGTGGAGCCCTGTGCCAACTGTGAAACCGGGCCAGGCCGAGTGTAGGGTCACGATGGGTCACGAAGCAACAAACTGTACGTCATATATATATATATATAATTTTATATATATATATTTATTTATTTATTCATATATTGGCAAACGAACTATGCTGAGTTTGAAAATATGAAACTGCGCTGGAGATTCTTGATGAGGAATGATGTGAAACTAGCTTGTTCTGCTTGGTCAAATGTGGTGTCGAATTCTGGGCCTTTATCAATGCTCCCTCAAAACAGTTCTAATGTAAATCCAGGGGTAACAAAAACCAGGATGGGACCACAATACATGATAATACATGGGGATATGAATGCATTGACCCCACAAATAGTGCTTGGTCATCCATCTGGCTATCAACCTCCTGTGAATGGCATACCGATTTCCATGTACTATCCATCGGTATGTTCGGGAAATTCAGACGGGACATCCGTTGGAACAGATAAATTATACACCATATCCACATCCATATGGAGGCTTCCTAAAATGGAGGTACCCCCAAATCATCCACTTTTTTTTGGGATTTTCATAGATTTTCCATGGTAAACCATCCAGCTGTTGGGGTACCATCATTTATGGAAACCCCAATTCAAATCCATGTGTTCGACTTCCATCACTCGGTGGTCAGCTACGTTTGCCCAAACCAATCACCTGCGGCTCTGGGGTCGCTTGGTTCGCATGGAGTTTTACTAAAGAGTGATGATATCTCCGAAAGGGAAAATCATATGGGAAATATATGGAAAACATGGGAATTGTGTTTTTTAATGCCAAAACAAGGTTCTACCCACGGGATGGGCATGGGTATGCCCTATGGCAAACTTGTGATCCGAACTTGGAGCTTCCAGGCTCCTATGACAAACCCACAGGAGAAGCATTAACAGATTAACAGTGGGGATTTTTGACAATGAGGACGTTGTGAAGAATTGTCGGCAACGCAACCATGTC